CACCAGTTTGTCACGGATCTTACATCATTCCTAGTGTACACTTATGATAGTAGTATTTCCTTAAAGCATTGTTACTGAAGACTGAATATGTGCTATCCTAGTGAATCAGCTCAGAAAACATTGATAAGCCTTATACTGATTAGCTTAAAAACTTTTACAAGCACTGTGTTTATTTTGTCCCATGCTTTGATGCTCAAAGCTCAAAATAGAAATAGAATCCGGTAATACGCATTTATGTGGGATGAAAGAGTGTTATTACACTATAGAGCGAAAAATGTTAATAACAACTTTCAAGAGTTATATCCGGAAGGCGAATAAAAATTTGATTGGAGGAGGTCAATAGATATATGACTTTCAATCTGAAGCTTTAGAAGAGGAGTACTGCTTCATCTCTTCTACAAAGAGATATCCTCATAGTGCTTCTTTCAGTCCCTTGAACTAGTAGTATCTTTTTGGTCCAATGAATTCGGGATTAATGACATATGTCGACAAACCATATATCTCAGAAAGTAATTAACTACCAAGGATTAAAAACAGAGAAGGTTGCGTCGTGTCCTGTAGTACTCAGTCAAGTACCAGCTGTCGAGTAGTCGCTTTAAAGTTAACATTTACCTTATATCGCTGTTAAAAAAATCCACGCTCAGAATAAGCGGACCAATCCTTGGGTTCCTGGTATAAGCAATGATCAGTTTACTAAACTTTATCGAAACACCTGTAGATCACCAACGTAGATGATCTATGTCGAAATGATTGGAGGCCTACTCGAGTTAGACGTGAATAGTGTGACGAACCAACTAACGTCGAAGTCACACCTCGTGGACAGCACCTTACGTGGACTACCCCCATTGACGTAACAAGGTACTATAGATGCTTTGAAGACTGTACAACACAAAGGACGTTATCACAGAAATATATTAGTTAAGGAAGATACAAGCGAAAGTAAGACCACTGCCGCATGGGCCAGTCCATGGCATACCATTAACTAATGCGCGTTTGTTGTACATGACCTTGGCAGGGAGCGATGATCTGTTCGACATTCAGTGATCCAACTGCCGGATGATTTGGCTAGGGCTCAGTGACATTTCACTGGCCCTACAATACTCCCCCACCAGATTCAACGGCCGTTTGAATCGGTACCAAACATGTTGGGAGCAGTCGCGCGCCGGAGAGTGCCAAACGAATATTATAAATTCTTTCGTGCCTTAAAGTAACCCTCGTGCTATTGATAGAAGAAACCAGAGAAGTAGTGAATAGGTCTTTATTTCGATCTCAGCGCGGTAACAGTGGAGCGTCGGATTACCTGTTCAGACAAACAAAGGCTCTCAACATTCAATATAAGATAATAGGGAATATAACGCTTATACAAAACAAGGAAGTGAATGGATACTTGAACAATACTGTTTTGGCATATGCTTGGTTGTTTGGGGTCAACTCTTAACCAACCAACCGAAGCTGTTACAATTCTCCAGGTATTGCTTATCTGTAAAACAAATGAAAAGGAGGCGGCAGAAACTGGTCGGGAAACAGCGAGTCATAATATGTTAGTAGGACGTTGGTTAAACGTAAAGCGATTAACCATAGAAATAATGAAAAGAACAAAACGTTTTATTGTTCTATCAAGTCGCGCTGAAATATATAGCCTTGACAAGTAATTCAGTTCCTCCGATGACAAACGTTAAGTCTGCCGCAAGAGTAATGATGCTATAGCGATAGTAGGATAAGTGTATTATCAATCGATATCCATATTTGTACTGTCATTAGTTTAAAGTTGTAAGTCGGACAGTGTCGTTGACAGCTATCAGTTAGTGTCGAATTCTAGTTATATCTATATCTAACAGACTAACCGTAAGTACAGAAGTATAACAGTGAAGAGTGGTCGTGATTTCGTTGTGCGAAGCTATTGACCAACTTGTAGTCACAGTTTGAAAAGTTGATGACTGCTGTTACAGTCAGTAAGGGTGGAAGGCTACAAATCGACAGCAAAAGGTGGCACGATGAAGTCTCTAAAAGATGATAAACGGTGAATGCTGTGTGTTTGTTCGGTTAGTGAACAGAAAAATATCGAAAAGAACATAAGAAACCAAGAGTGTCACTCTGGACTCATGTCAATGATACCCGTGAAAAACGCTGTCAGTGTTGGGATAGAGGCGACAATATCGTTTTCAGTTTGCAGGAGATTCGCTCGACTGCATAAACTGATGATTCGCGCGAATGATATTGTCGTCAGACCACCAATTGAACTGGACAGGTTGTAAATCGTCGAGTAGTTGAACAGCCGATTGATGTACCGGAATCATCTGTTAAATAACAGCCACGAGGAAACAGTACTTCATAAAATGAAGTACGACATCGAAGTAGAACAACTACAATAGTTCAGATGTGTTGCAATGTCAAGTCTAAATAACATCGTTCTTACGTATACTGACAGTTGCACTGAACGTTCGTTTAGGCATTATTAGCGTAACAGTTGGATGTGTGAATAAAAACATATACGAAAACTATGGTTGGGTTTGTGGAGAATTTTCGAGGACGTTTAGATATTTTCCAAACCCGTATCGCATGTAAATCGAAAATAGAATTAAAATGACTGTCGTGTAATAAGGAAATCGAGCCATGATTTACCATGTGAATTAATAGCAAATACAAGGGGTATAATAAACATTAATTAAAATGGTAACCACCAATGTAACTAAGGTTTAGAGGGTCCAGATAACGTGGCCATTTCGTAAAAGGCTGATACAAAGAGCTTATTACCTAGCGTTAAGTGACATATTAAGTACGACAACATGTGTACTTGGGACATGGACTAAGCGTGCTCGTGTACATGCGATATGTTTTACCACAGTATGTCGACTAACGAGTCATAAATGTACATGATTTCGACTAAAACTTGACGGCAGTGACAGAATATATGACTAGTTTACGTGAAAGCAACTACGAAATGTTATCACGCATCATAAATATAGTACGAAATAATCTAATGAAATTATGAAACTCGCCTGGGTTACTCTTGCCTTTAAGTAATGAAGTAGGCAGTAGTTTGAATCTGGATTATGTACGAGGTACTGTTGATTAAATTTTTCGATTAACACAGCGTTGTAGACTGAATTTGTATAAGTCCAGAATTAATGTAAGCCGAATACATAGCATTACCTGACGAACAGTCTAAACGAGATCTAAGATCGCAGGAAATTTATAGTTCAAACTCACCGTGAATTTCTAGCATTCGTATCCTCTGTTTGGCCATGGAACTCAGCAATTGGAAATTAGGCAGACAGTGGTAAAAAAAAGCAGAACATTCTAGTGGATAGTGGTTAAGCAGAAAGATGAATTTATAGTCGATAGTTAATCGTCTTATTTATACTAGTGGATAAGTTACAAACAGATGTGCGTTCGTGTTGCCTTGTGGCTATACTCACGAGTGGTTGATATTTTAACAGACATATTACACAGGAGTATTTACATGCTGCTAATGCTTGTTAAAGAACCACGATAGCCGATTATAATCGTAGTTGATTGGTTAGTTCTGTCGATTGGACTAAGTATTTAAGTCTAAATACTAATCAACATTGGCATGAAGCAACGAAAGTTCACAGTGATAGATTAACATAGGCGATGATAAAAATGAAAAAGAATAAGTATAGAATGCAATAATAAAGATCATAGTGATACGTTGCGTTACTCGAAGTCTTGCTCACCAGAAGACTGCGTGTTCGTATCACGTCGGGCTCACCAGTGTAGATCACCAACGTAGATGATCTATGTCGAAATGATTGGAGGCCTACTCGAGTTAGACGTGAATAGTGTGACGAACCAACTAACGTCGAAGTCACACCTCGTGGACAGCACCTTACGTGGACTACCCCCATTGACGTAACAAGGTACTATAGATGCTTTGAAGACTGTACAACACAAAGGACGTTATCACAGAAATATATTAGTTAAGGAAGATACAAGCGAAAGTAAGACCACTGCCGCATGGGCCAGTCCATGGCATACCATTAACTAATGCGCGTTTGTTGTACATGACCTTGGCAGGGAGCGATGATCTGTTCGACATTCAGTGATCCAACTGCCGGATGATTTGGCTAGGGCTCAGTGACATTTCACTGGCCCTACACACCTATTTAAATTTTCTGAGTTCTATTAGCTTATACCTTCTTGCAAACTGCTTGTAACAACATAGTGTAAAGATGCCGCGGATTTTCGGTGCTCGACAAAGTTGTTGTTTGTTACGCCTTTTATAATCGGGAATACCAAAGCTAAGCAAATCCGAATTCAGGAATGAAGAGGTTCGAAGATATGTTTGAATGGTAATCAATGTGTTGAGAGGCATATGATCTAAGCTGACTAGTTTTGAGGAGTAGGTAACATGTTGTACTTGGTCATGATCTGCTACAGATGTTCGGGCGATTCCTTTCGACTACAGTGTGTCCAGTAAAACTAATAAGGTCAGCATAAATATCGAACACTCACATAACTACCTATCTTGGTTACTTATTTACCACTAAAATATCTGTTACATAGAGCCTGTTGTTTATAGACACACTCCTTGAGCCGACTGAGGGTAGAAAGGTTGTATCGGTCATTTTAACGAATCAGACTGGTGACTTCCAGTTAACTGGAGTTCACTTACAATACTACGGGCGTTTTGTGAATGGGTTAGATAGTAACAGAGGGAGTTTTCTTTTACTTTATACCTAATCATGATCCATTCTACCGAAACTCCTTAAATCTGACTTCTATGCCTATTCTACGACATGTCAAGTTGCAAGACGTCAGATCGATGACAAATAGGTCTCTACTGAAATCCCATTGCTTTCATGAAACTTAGAAGCATTATTTGGAAAATTCAGTGGTCAAATTTTCGACCCATCGATACTAATACATAAGTAATCATGACACAAATTTATTTTGCCCAACACTAATGTCAATAGATGTTGAGCATGAGCGGTATCCTAAATAACATCGTCTTGCCGCTCCATTAGAATTTCAACCTAATGTCTTCTCTTGTGGAGGATCGTCGCAGGTCTAGAAAATCCGCTCCAGTCAAGAATGCCGTTTTTTTAGGGGCTATCAATAAAGGGCGTTCGCGTATCAGTCCGTTAGTGACTCAAAGGTATTATCGTTTTAATTGGCTTATAAGTATCCGAAGTCCTGTAGATAAATTAAGTCATAATGACCGGGAAAATGGTCGAAAGTTGGAAATTTCGTCTCAAACAGTAAGAAATAGCAGGTCATCTACTCAGAAAGTCAGCCCATCGACCCCTTTCCGCATGTCTACGCCTGTTAGGAACTGTGAGACAACTCCTAGATACAGAACCCGGCACCGATCTAAAGAGGAATGCAATGACCACAACAGATCACGAAGCATTTTGTCCTCGGTACGTACAGTCTTAATTTGACTCCCAACAGATTGGAAGTCGCAGAAAATTCCATCCAAACTACGACCCACTTATTGAAATCAGGCGCGCTCAGGAACGCCTCGACCGCTATCGCACTCAAGGAGACTGGAAAGTCGATATGCTGTTGTCCGACGATGCGGACGAAGATCTGAGTCGATATGAAGAAAAACTGAAACGAAGATTAACAGAAAAAGTGATTGCGCTTTTAATGGTTTCCTTCATTTACCATGGTATCTTTCGTTAGTAGTTTTGTAAAACTAAATGATAATGTGTAGGACTATTCAGTTTTTATCCAAATCCTGGATATTTTAACGGTCTTTCTAGTCACGAATTTACTCGAGGTATATAAAGCTTTAACCGCCTAAGTAGTGTTAGACGTTTCTAAAACCACTTGGACATGAATCCTTATTTTCTTTTTTATGATCAGTAACTTAACAGTACATATAAACATCATTGAACGGTGAAAAACGCAACCCCCTACTGTCGACTAAAATTTTTTGACAAAATATCGCTTAAACGTTGGATCAAACTGTGTCATAATATTGTTAAACTCCGCTATTTTAAGCTTCTATGTGCCGTTTTTGTCATGTACTTCGCCTTGGTTTGCGGGAACCTCTATAATTACAGATGTTAAGTGTGTGCACTTAGCAGTTGGGTTGGTGGGAGTTATTCATGCGCAAGTTAGAACCTGTTCAATGTAATAAATCTCATTAGCACAACGATGAACTTATCAAAATAAATCCCGAAATGGAGGTAACAAAAGTGTTAGTGGTAGCAGGAAGGATTGGCATAAGAGGCAGTGTCCGAAGAGAAAATGTGGGTTATTGCGATACATTTTATCAGGTAATTCAGAAACTTAGGATCCAAGGGAAGACGGTGGGTGTCCCTGGACTATTGCAGATGGTTCTGAGCCATGGTAATCAAAGTTTAACCGGTAATTATGACAATCACGCGAGCCTCGACCAGGTAGTCTGCAACTGCCTTTATGGTTCAATCCAATATTCTTTGTTTCCATGGACTGATACTGTCTTGTTCTGACTTTTTGATGGAATTTGTTAGATGGTACCTTATCTACATTAACACACTGACCCATGAGTAGCAGTGATCATGGAAAAAAAACTAACACCTCTTATTTTACCTCTGTTGTTTAATTGGCTTCGTATATATTAAACTTCATTCATCACCTTTCTCACTGAGGGTCCTATTACCATGGGTATGAAACCAATGGCAGTGTTATGGTTACATTTGAAACACTGCTTAGCCATACTGTCGTCTCAGGTTCCCTGCGTATATGACTCAAAATTCATCGTTAATTCCTGTACTGCTGTACTATGCTATTATCTTGAAAATATTGTCTGCCCGTCGGTTCAATAACCTCTAAATTAAGCTCTGATGGGAGATTCAGATTACTGGGCTAGGATTTCGTAAGATAAGCGCTGTTAGTGGACAAATATACATTCATTTATTGTGTTTCCTTCCACACATACTTTTTTAACCATTGCTAAGTCTCCCTCTGATAAAAATAACTTCGACATCTTTTCAAATCATTCTGTGAATTTCAGCATGCTATGCTAGCTTGGCATGGCTGATGCACATCTGTACCAGGTTAGAGCTGCATCCAAGTCGAATTTAAAGGAGTTCAACTAGAAATTTGAAACTAAACGTATATACGTCTGATTAATGCATAACATTCAACTCCTTGATATGTTCTCTATTGGAATGGATTCATACTACTTCAGATCATGTATTCATTTAATAACTGAGTTAGTCTATACTCTTATTCCACTCAGTATTCTGGCACTAAAATATCTTGCAAATGCAGTATTATTTCAACCATTGAATCACTCACTAATGTCCTTCATAAAACGGTCGTGTGGATTATCTTTATTTATGACAATTGTTTTATTTATTAGGCTGGAGGCGATCACTGAATTCTGAAGATTTGTTTTCTCAATAAACTTTCTCAGTAACGAGTTCCAAATCCCCTGGTATGGCCGAGAGTGGAGGGAGTCCGCCCTCCCTTTCGAAATGCCCTCACTTGACCACACGTATAAAGCCACTGCCTTGCGGCGGGGCCGTTGTTTACGAAATTGAGAGGACGAAAATCGAATGTCCGGCGCCTTAACCGGGTTGGTGGATACGAAGGATCCACCTGAGTTGGAAAACCCTGATTCCAAACCAATGCGCTCACATAGACTTTAGTACCCTGAAGGAAAAATGGCGTATGCACCTGTTGGTCACCGGTTGCCATGGGGTTGCATCTCTCGACGTAGCTCCATTGCTTTGTGGACCAGACTTCTAGGTCAAAGGCTCGGAGAGTGGCCCCCTGTTATATTCTTGGTTCTTACTTCGGTTAATGACCCAGCTATTCCTATTGCTTAGTATTCTCGGACACCGATTCACTCGACAAGTCCCCAAATCAGAACACGGTTGAACAGGAAAAAGATTATATTCCAAATAGCAAGTCAGAAGCCAGTAGGAAGCACAATAGGGAAAAACGTCGGTATATTTATAGTTTTTACATAAGAAGAATCCAGAATATTCTCCAACTATCGACTAGCGCTGATTGGATAAGAATTAGCCAATCAGCGTGCACCAAAGCAATCATGCATTGAGCATGCTTTAGTCTAGTCTATGTCCCGCTAACACCTCCCCTCTGAGCAGATTCGTAGGATCTGGTGCTAGGGTCCAACTGCAACTGAGTGAATAGCTTGTGCTTTCGATTAGTCTATCGTCTAGGCAATGAAGAATTATCACTTTTTCCTTGCACAGAGACTGACATGTCTGTTCCCGGCGTTTTGATTTTTCTTAAAAAAAAAGTATGCATAACTTTTAATTCTCCAACATTCTCCTCCTCCTCGAAATAATGTTGGGTCCTTATGGCTCCAAATTATAACTAGTAGGACTTTATTTAAACCATGTTTCTCGTATTGACTGGAGAATCCACTAAAAATGACTAGATGATGATGAACAACCTTTGATCTGAGTTCATTATTTTCAAATTCATTATGAATCTCGTTAGCTGATAACGAGTCATTAAGAAAGTCAACGTCTAACAGAATTAGATTAGATTTTTGGCCATCATTCGACTCAGCTGACATATTTCCCTCATTGTTATAAGAAGGTTCATCAAAATCATATGCATTATTCTGAGAATCAATATCTGGTACACTGTCATTAGAAATGGGATAAGTTGACTCAATATAAAATTCTGTCTTCCGGTGATTTTGAGTAACATCTGGTACAATTTGGTTCATTGTGTTGCTCCAGTTATTTTCTGAATACGAGTCACCATAGCTTTCTTGACTAATAGCACGTGGACCACAATTTTGTTCGAGCTGACGTTTATTTTCGCAGCTAGACAGTACCAGTAGTGTTTCATTTGATTCTGGACTCCGGGCTTCATCTACAGGACCTGGCTCCTGATCATCCGGTATTGTCACAACCTCATGTGCATTCAGCACAGTATTTTCTTGCTGTGAGCCGGACACGTTACAAATATTACGTTCTGATTCAGGTATAAAGGGATTTGAACCCTCCACTAGATATGCTTCTGAAATGTCTGTTACTGCATCATAAACAGATTTATTTTCTGGTCGAGTGAAAAGTGTGTTCAATAGTTGTTGTTGCAAGGCTAACAACTTTTCCCCGTCGCCACTGTTATAATTCTCTGGTTCTTACTACGGTTAATGACCCAGCTATTCCTATTGCTTAGTATTCTCGGACACCGATTCACTCGACAAGTCCCCAAATCAGAACACGGTTGAACAGGAAAAAGATTATATTCCAAATAGCAAGTCAGAAGCCAGTAGGAAGCACAATAGGGAAAAACGTCGGTATATTTATAGTTTTTACATAAGAAGAATCCAGAATATTCTCCAACTATCGACTAGCGCTGATTGGATAAGAATTAGCCAATCAGCGTGCACCAAAGCAACCATGCATTGAGCATGCTTTAGTCTAGTCTATGTCCCGCTAACACCCCCTAAAAAAGACCATCTGCTTCGGTCTCAGCTCCCGGCCAGCATTACAGCCCTCACACAAGTCGGATGACGAATTGTGGCGCATATGTATTCGGTACCTCCTTGTACTTATGTTTTGAAATAAATCCTGGGCAGTGTCTCCATTGGTATCGAGGGAAAAATGTTAAGATCGAAGTATTTGCTTGTCAAGGCCAAAAGTATGTACCTGTTACCCCATTTCTTATCCTTCCCTCCTTGTTTTTAGTTTGTAAAAAGCCATTACCATTGGTGAAGTTTCTGATATTTTTTGTGTATAGGGGGAAACACAGCAACCTATTGAACTTGAAAGGAGGCAAATGGAATTGTTGAGGAGGCAGAAGGACATTGATATGGGAAAAGTGACAGAACGCTACGCTGAATATGTGTTGAGTATCCCAAAACCTGAGCGCCAGAAGTATCATCCTCGTACTCCCAACAAGTTCCGTAAAGTTTCTCGCCGTGCATGGGATGGGATGATTCGGAAGTGGCGCAAACATTTACATAATTTCGATAATCTTAAGTGAGTTTCCATTATCATTATTATTACTGTTATTGTTATTTCGTTGAATGTTATTCTGATTTTGAAGGTGTATTCTATCATGACCTAGTGCTATGCAAGCGTGTTTTCTCAGTGTATACCGATAAGAATACCAACTTACTTGCATTCCCGGGTTATGACCCAATTATAAAGATAACAATCCGTTTGTTATATGCTATAAAATTTCACCTCGTCACTTAACAGAATCTAGTACATAAATTTCCATTCGACTTTGTCCTATTTTTTCGAATTTTCCGTGGGTTTTGTTTATCGTCAGTTGACGAAAAGTGTAATCCTATTCGTTAATATCGACTCCGAAATGTTAAAACCTGTTTGAACTTTCACACTATAAGCATCAGCAAAATGTCTCTAAACTCTGTTCCTGTCATTAACAGTAGTTTGTGATTAATACAGATTATGAGGTATCAAGCCATGTGGCTGTTCATCATATTTCTCTTTACAATCAACATGTAGGTACTTTGTGTCATCTACAGCGGTACATTTAGTGTTCTTGTTGCTAAACTGTGAAAATATTGCACAGGTTTGTAACCCTCTAATTAAATTAATTAACTAAAACACTAATTTTGGTCGATTAAAAAGGATCTACTTATAATTTCTAAAAAAATGATTTAACTAGTCAGATAGATCATAGTTTCTACTGATTACATACAGTTCTACTTAGTAGGTTACAGTTTTTATAGATTGTAAAATAACAGCTGACGAATGACATCTCTCAATTAGCTTTTTTTGGTTTTAACAGATATTTCAGTTGACCATTTGTTCGTGTTCATATGCCTAATTATGTATAGCGTATCAAAAACGCGGTTTACGGCATTTTTCGTAACTTCTAAGGAAGAGGCATTGAAATAATTTTCATCCAGAAACTTATTCATTTGTTTATAGTATTCTGTCATTTAATTATGCTTCTTTATATAAGTTTTCAGGCAAATTGTAAAGTTTTTCTCAAATGTGAGGAGCTTAACTACATATTAGAGATTTTAACGAACCAATACATCTATGTATATGAGAGTATTTATTTATTTATTTATTTCAACACATAAATATTGGTACAAGAGAGGGCCAATATATATGCGCCACACAAAACAATGAGAATTCGAAGAGAAAAAAAAGGTAAGGAGCGTAAAAAAAGAGAACAATAACGAAGAGATTGGTATAAGGTAGTGTAGTACTAATGAGGGAACGGAAAGGTACAATCAGAAGAAATCTTTCAGTTTAGGGAGACACAACCACCTTTTACGGAGAAAGTAAAAGAAGGTTACAGCAGGATCGCCACTGGCTTCTATTCTGAGCCATATCTGATAACGTCTCTAGCCACTGTGTTGCACCATCTCTCGGACCCCAACCAGGGAGTCATGAAGGACCAACACAAGCCAGTTCTTTGCAGCTTTCTTTCATGCCACGATATTATGTCATACACTGAACACCTCTCCGCTTTTTCCAACCAGTCCCAGCGTCGGCAAATAATGCACGACGTGGAATTCTCTGGGACGACATTTGTAGAACATGTCCAAGTCACCGAAGTCGGTGTTTCAAGATGGTGACACCAATTGCATTATCATCTCTGTGCCCGAACACACGATGTCGGACCTCTGCATTACTAACATAGTGTTGCCACTGGATGTCAGCAATCCTTCGGAGACAACGATGGTCGAACACATAGAGTCGTCCAATATCCTCAACTCGGAGAGGCCAGGTTTCACAAGCATAGAGCAAAACTGCTCTCACCGACGCGTTGTAGATCCGACCTTTTACAGCCAGACTGACATCACGAAGGTGCCAAAGATGGCCCAGATTGGCATACGCCGCTCTGGCTTTCACTATACATGCATTGATCTCATCACTCACACCCCCACCAGCACTTATGCAGCTACCTAGATACACGAACTTCTCGACTACTTCTATCTGCTCACCATCCAGGGTGAGTACAGGATTGGAATCCTGCCAGTCTTGTAGAAGTACTTTGCACTTCGAAGGTGCAAAGCACATACCATACCTACGGACACTGATTGCCAACTGATTAAGTGCGGATTGCATGGCTTGGGCATTATCGCACAGTAAGACAATATCATCCGCATACTCAAGGTCGAGAAGTCTTTCTCCGGGCAACAGATCTACGCCGCCATTACTTACATCCATCAGAGCTGTTCCCAGAATGTCGTCGATGGCAAAGTTGAAGAGGAATGGTGAGATTGGGCAACCCTGTCTAACCCCACTGCTCGAATAGAACAATGGAGAGAGGTGGTTGTATGCCCTCACTCTGCCTGAGGTGTTTGTATATAGGGCTTTTAAGATGTTAATAAACTTCTCAGACACACCCTTCTTCGATAGATTATCCCAGAGAACAGTCCTATCCAACGAATCGCAGGCAGCCCTGATGTCAAGAAACACTACGATTGTTGGCCTTTGATAAGTATGACGGTGTTCTAACATTTGGCGGAGGGTGAAGATATGATCAATACATCCTCGACCAGAACGAAACCCAGCCTGCTCCTCTTGAGTCAATCTTTCTCGGGTTTTGAACAACCTACGAAGTATGACGGAAGCCAATAGCTTCGACGCAATCGGAAGTAGACTTATCCCCCGATAGTTGTAACAGGAACGACGTGAACCGTTTTTAGAGATAGGGACAACTATCGACTCATTCCATGACGTTGGTACACTCTCTAGTTTCCAAACCTTTGTAAACAACGTCGTCAATTCCTTAGTCAGAAAGTCACCACCATCTTTAAAAAGAGCCGAAGGTAAGTCATCTAGGCCAGGTGATTTGTAACGCTTCAAGAATTGGAGTTCCTTGCGGACTTCCGCCTCATTTGTTGGATCAGTCGTCACCGGCCATGGAGGGCAGGACAGTCTGACCGATGTTGCCGAAGCAGCAGGTCAGTTGAACTGCCCTTCGAAAAATTCTACCCATCGTCCAAGACGTCGATGGATGTTAGTGATTGGCATCCCATCATCCTCGCAGATTGTTTCACTCACACCAGACTTCTTGCTGCCAGTGGCTCGGATGAGTTGGAAGAGCTTGCGGCAGTTACTAGATGCAGCTGCTGCTTCCAGCTCATTAGCACGCCATTTTCATGGCGTCATGCAATTGTGACCAATGCTCATCTATACTTTTCGGTGGAATGGTAGCTAGCCTAGAAACTAGCCCGGTTCGATACTTACTTGCAACAGAAGTTGCAACCAGCTTGCTAACATCAATCCGTTGTTGGCGGTCACTTCGTTGTCCACTGAAAAGTAAGATAAGATTGGCGCAGACCAAGGCATGGTCAGAGTCCAGATAGGTACTCCAAAAGGAGCGGTAATCTTGTACACAACCACGCCAGCGGTAGCTAATCGCGATGTGATCAATCTGAGTCCAGGCTTGAGATGTAGAGGGAGGGCGCCAGGTGGCACATCGGCGATGACTGTGCCGAAAGTTAGTGCTAGCCAGAAACAGGTTGTGGTCTGTGCACAGTTGCAGTAGACGGTCCCCGTTATCTGTCCTGCGACCAAGAAGTTCGCATCGGCCACCTAAACGACTCTTCTGTGTCTAGATGCCTGACCTGAGCATTCAAGATTCCGGCTAGTACTACAATATCTGTCGAACGCACTTTCTGGAGAAGAACAGTTAACTGGTGATAGAATTCATCCTTGATTGCATCCAGGCTGCAATCTGTCGGGGCATAGGCGGAGATGACGAAAAGACATCGTTTCTCACGTCGATTTCCTCTCGCTTTGATGGAACTTTCTAATCTAACAGCACATAACTGACTGTTAATTGGGATCCAATCGATTAGTGCTGCCTCAGCTCTAGCGCTTAGTGCGACACCAAGGCGAGCAAGACCAGACAAAGATGCCACAGAGTCCCCGGATAAGCGCACGTAAAACAAGCTTTTTGAAGCGACAGATAGAGAGCGAATTTGTAGTACTTCACCAGAGTCTTGAATACGGGTCTCGGATAGACAACAAACATCGATATTAAGGCTTTCCAAAGACATAGTCAGCCCTATCTGTTGTCCAACCTGCATAAGTGTGCGAACGTTGAAGGCAGCCAGTTTGAATGGTGCACGTGGTTTCAGAAAAACTGCTTCAGTACTCATTCGGTGGGAACATACAATTTTCAACCGGACAGTGACTCGAGAACGTTTAGATAGAGTCGAATTTCCACCAAAGACGTGCCGCTGTATAAGTATAAAAGAGGGTGAATAATATGGTAAATAATAATAATAATAATAATTTGATTGTTGGTTGAAGCGAGTAAAGTAGTTTCCATAATTATAGGCAGTTCATCATATTTGTGTGTGGGCTGTGATACTGCCCGGGTGCTCAGACCGAAGCAGGTGGTTATATTAGGGGGCCACACCCCGAGCCTTTGACCTAAAGGTCTAACCCACAAGGCAGTGGAGCATCGTAAGGAGATGCAGTCCCATGGTAGCCGGTGACCAACGATTGGTTCATACGCCATTTGTTCCCGCAGGATACTGGAGCCCATGTGCACCATTGGTTTGGGGTCCGGTTAAAGCGCCGGACATTCTCTTTTCGTGCTCTCATTTTCGTAAACAACACCCCCGCCACGCGAAGGCAGTGAGTAGGACTTCCCTGGCAGAGGCTGTATACGCGTGGCTGTGTGAGAGTATTTCGAGGAGGGCGAACCAACCCCGCTCTTGGCCATACCAGGGCATTTGGGGGCATGTATATGAGAATGTACTGGGCATCTACCCGCTGCACCAACTTTTGGGAGACAGGGAATTACATTAGTGTCTTGTATTATGATTTGATGAACGAATGTTTAGGAATTATTAAATGCAATTGTTCCTTCAGGGTCTGGAGCCGATGTAATATCATTGGTTTGGAATCAGGGTTCCCAACTTCTTGGGTTTAATTCTTTGTATTCAGCAACTCAGTTTAGGCATCTGACTTTATTTTTTCATTCTCATCGCTTAGACATCACCCTCGCAGCGAGTAAGGCTTCCCAAGGATAGGGTTTGGACGCGGGACTGTATGTGGACGAAGGTATTGCAATCAGCTTATTTTTTACCGCTTATTACGAACCACCTATTGTATATGTTTACCTTGTGTACTTTGGTTCACACAACTAAATACTGTATCCTATTGTATAATAAAAACTGAGCAATTGCTAATTTATCCATTGTTTTTGCTATTAGTCTCTTTGATCGCATAATCTAAATTGCAATGTAACACTTAAAACCGAACTTTATTATGTTTTAGCTTTGAAGATACTTGGCGTTCCTTATCAACTGATCTCTCGAGTAATTTTTCTGGTTCATCATGGGTTTTGGAAAGTGGTGCATCTAGTGACACTGAAAATATAAACCCAGAGGAATATCATATTGCTTTAGTAAACCATAGCCAACCTCTGTCTCGTACATTTCTAAGTCCAAAGGATCTTACAGCGTCACCAACTATTAACGTTTCATACAGCCGTCATCAGTATCGTAAGTACGATGAAGATGAAGATACATTACAATCGAATCCAAGACACTGTAAAGAAGAGGAACGTTTTCCAACTATCGCACCTAAAGAGGAAGAGGAGGACACTTTGACTGGTTCGTCTAGCATTCATGAAAACCGAAGAATAACGCGAAATTCTAAGTGGGTTTACACTGTCTTTTTCTAATTTGCCGATTTGATTGCATATTATATCGCAAGTTTGACTGATAATGAACCCATAAATTGTTACACATAGATAAATTCATTTTGTAAATGGTAAATCACTTATGTAGGCTCATTTATCTGTGTATTTGATTGATTATTTATTTCTATCATCATATGTGACCATACAAAATAGCATTTTTACTTATTTTTCTGCCAAACATTGTGTGAAAAGCTTCCGTATATTTAACCAAACCGTTGATACAATTGGACAGTCCAAGTTTCAAGCAGAGACCTTTGTTTGTAATTAGAAGTAACACTAAAAAGTCTCATTCAAGTTGAAACACAATCATTAGAAATCAGAAAACTTGCAACATTAGTCAACAGAAGTGTATATGTTATGAAATTTTTTCGAAAATGGACACAAATAAGGAATAGAATGTTTAAAAACTGTAACAATGAGGATATTAGTCATAAAAAAGTACAATTACAATCACTTTTATGTAACATTTATCTATCCAAACTGCTAATGTTTTAAATTTCGTTGCCAGTATATCAGATTTTGATTATTCATGTTATCTCCTATAGAATGCTTTCTGGGCCTTCTGCCGATGTGTTACACAGTGGACTTACAAACGATATGCAATCACTTGCTGCAGTTGCTCAAAAAAGGTCTTCAGTACATCTCGATCAAAGCATTGTTGGTAAACGCCCAGTAGATATTCAAAGTTTCACTGACTTTCCTCATTTGAATTCGTCTGATGGTACGTATCTACATATATATATACATCTTTTTTTATGTCTTCAGTTGTGAACTTATTGATACACTACATGTAGGTAAATACGTGTAAATATACAATTGGTCAAGTTTCCTGTATCAGTATGATTCAAGAAAATAATTAACCATCGGAACGAAACTGGAAGTTCAGTCTTGGCAGTTTATATAAATATATATATAGTTGTTTTATGCTGTTATCTCAGATAGTTTTTTTTTTTTGTGAAATGGTTGTACACTAAATGCCACGGAATTGTCTTAAATAGCTGTAAAAATTTGTCTTTACATCAAGAAGTTTAAGTATACTTTTTAAGGAAAAAAGTATGCACTACCCCAATGTGGTAACCACCATTTTGTTGATGTGGTGTGTGGTGCAAACGATCTGATGACTGTGGGCATAAATGGATATATGTGTGTGATATGCCTTTGTAAATCAGTAGTTTAATTCAGTCGACTCTTGGTTACCAGGACACATATCACAGAACTTCACATCAACTACTTCGATTTTACAGTGTAGGGTAAGTGACTGGCAAAAATGTAACGAAATCAAATTACATTTATAAGTTTAATCAATTTATACTTTACTTTTTATTGTTTACAAAGGTGTTTTTTCTCCAAATAAACGAATTAAGCGTGGTGGTGTAAAACATGAAGGATGAAGTTAATTACAATGCCTCTAGTTCGTTTACATGGAATTATATTTAGATATATGAACTTTTTGCTGAGAACAGTTAACTTTATTGTTTTTTGTCTGTTATTCGTCTTTTAATGAACCTCCTTTAATTTTGCCTCATTTATTACGTGTTTATTGTTTATTCCTGTCGTTTCAAACAACTTGCTAAATTTTCAAAGATTCATTACTTCAGTAATCTTTCTCTCTAATGATTTCAGTCACCAAGTGATTGTTTTTACTAATTTGTTTTATAAATATTCAGAATGTTATAAATTTAACATTTTAAGTTATATGTTTTTCAACTATGTATCATGAAGCATGTTCTGAAAGAGATTTGGTTAATTATCTTTAATTCTGTTTTTATGTATAGAAATAATGTTAATATTAAGCAGAACTTTGATCACTATGTAATATGTATATGACTAATTAGTCCGATTAAAATTCTATGTAAAAACTTTTATAGCACTATTTATTTGGATTAAGCAGGTTTTTATTCCACACAGTACATTCGGTACTTCTAAAGGCTAACTAATTAAAGTTAACATTTATTTCAACTTTCCTATAATCGTATTAACAGGGAGTTTCAGGAAGTATAACGCTTATGCTTGCAACACTCCAACTCCGCCACCCGAACAAAAGAGGGTTGGGCATGGGGTTAGGAATCCCATCCCATAGGAAAAGACCTTGCTAATGCTAACCAGGAAAAACCATTTAAACTCTGTCAAAGGATCTTCATTTATGAGTTATGTCACGTAATGAAGCTGGGATTTGTCGGAAGTCACAAGGCTGATGCTCCTTTTAAAAACCAGAACAATTAACGCAGGGACATGGATCGTCTGGACAATGTGGGAAACCGGGAAAATTAATCAAATAGATGCGAAACTGAAGGGATACAACTTCGCGGTGATAAGTGAAACACTTTGGACGCAAAGAAGTGGGTAAAGTTTTGACACTCAACCACCACAGGTGACCTACTTACCTGACTTAAGCACTGAATACTCATTCCCATATTTGTGGGGACTCATCTATCTTCTAGCTTAAATTATTATATTTCTAATTAAAAATCCCAGATGTAAATATACTAATAACCTATCATATAGCATCACTATGTTTGCTCTTATTCTGAAAACAAGCAGTCAGGTGGAACATAAGTATATTTTCAGTAATCTTAAACCTATACGATCTTCATCTGCGAGTTGGAAAGGGTTTACCATGAATTGAAATAAGATTAAACTGCATGAATTTTCTGCACATTTAGGAAACCAGCAGATGTTTATTTTGTGATATGAGAAGAATCAGAGTGTACGTGTCACGATCCATTGTATGATCTACAAGAACAAAGTTCACTTCGCAAACTTTCAAATATTGTTTTTAATTGTCCACTCATTTAGTCCATTGGGTGGTTTGTTTGTAGAAACAGTGTACTGTTGATCTGAGAGATTTTTTTGTAATCGACCAGCTAAAATAAAGTGCTTATGTTTAAACTGTCGAGTTACTTTCAACTCATCGAATTAAACTGACATTGTCCTAACTGCCAGTATCACTCGCCACTTCTTACGACGGAGGTATAAGGCTAGGACGTGCATATTTAACGATCAGCTCTGTTAGATTTTTTGGATGACCGACGGTTACTCACAAAAATATTGAACCAGTATTCCAAATAAATAAATAGAAGACAATAGCTGGTTAGTAAGTCTAACCAGCAAAATATGACGCTCATATTTACCTGCTATGTAGCACAAAAATAAACATTAAAAGTTGTTCAGCATATAAATGGTTGTAAATTACTGACTGTAGACCGTTTACTAGCTAATGAAACGATCCTAGATATCAGGTTGATTTGTTCTGCACGTCACCTTTTCTAAATCAGGTTCAGTGTTCTGTGTAAGTATATGCGAAACGTCTTTGTCAGTGGTCTCCCGTTCACTGACTTCATTGCAGTTATGAAAACTTGGAACATAGTACAAAGAAGAATACAGTCAATTCGGTGATTAAGATAATGAACCGCCCAATGTTACATCAACATTGAAAACCTGGACGGCCATTTCGCCCTAGTTTGGGACTCACCGAAGACAGTCGCGCAATATCGTGGGTTGACTGAAGTTGGACATTACCACCGTTGGAGGCCGGCTAGGCGTGAGACGGAAGATCCTGGGCCCGGCTCCTGCGTGCGGGTCCGTGGATGCGCACTGCTGAGTCTAATATTAGGACGAAGCATCCGTTCAGTGCTTCCAGGTTTATGATCTCAATCAAGACTCAACAATCTCCAGAACCCTATATTGAAGATGTTATTTTTGACGGTTCCATTGAGTTGTGCTGTACAATCGTATTTACTAAAAATAATAGTCTGTAGTAAAATAGAATAGTGTTGAGTAGTCATAGGATAGTGAAGTGGTATCGTGTCCTGAGTTGAATACAAGAATCAGATATTAGAAGCAAGTTGTGAAATTATCGGCTAATGAAAAGTGTTGAGGTGAAGATACTTAATCATTTACATATTAAGGGCAGAATGATCAAGTTGTAACGATGACAAATCAGTTGTAGGAAAGGATTAGGCAGCAAGTGATTGGTTATGAAAGATAGATAGGAGGGTTAAGAAAATAGTCCAGCAATAGCTGGACGTACTGTTTTTATGCATAAGGGTTAGGCCTGGATTGGTGGGTAGCTATAGTCTCTACCATATATATGCCCTGTGTTTTCCTCTTGAGCTGATTTCTCTGACTGTATAGACGGTTTTCAAGGATTCTAGTTTAAGAATTAATTAAGTGTTCTTCATTGCAATAAGGACTGGATTTAGCTAAACTTCATTGAAATTCCGTCAATCTGATGTTCGAACTTCTGTTATGGATGAAATCTTGTGGTCCAGTAAATTACAGAACTTATTCCAATGATCTGTTTGTAAAGTCGCACTTTTATTTATCCTGACCAATTATCAACTGATTATTTGTTCTCTATAGCAGGCCAAATTCAGTAGATATTTATTTCGTATTCAACAATCAAGAAAGTTTATCATATATGAAAACATGCCTATTATATACATGTCCATTCACAGTGTGTGATAAAAATTTAAAATCATACAATGCTTATGTGGTGAGTATCCAGACATCAGGTAGACAAAACTAGACAGTTACTTTACATTTAAAGCTTCAACGAAGTACTAAGGGGAAAATAAACAAGGGATTACGCAAAAACGCTAATTATATTTAACCTGTTTATTACTAAAGAGACATTTACAAAAATCTAAAACTATAATATTATTAAGCTAGTGACGTCCATAATATTACAGGGACAAATATCATGTTTTGTTAAAATGTTTCACAGCCAACATTATTGAATGTAAATTTCATCATTTACTGGTCGATTCATGCAGGAACTATTGAAGAAAGAACATAGAATAGATGACGCAATTCTTCATTAGTTAAATCACAATTCAATGCAATACGAATACTTGGAGGTGGAGCAGGGAAATTTATACTATACGTATATCTGAAAAAAGACGATTTAATAAAAGATTAACAAGGTTGTCAGTAATGCAGTAACATGAAGCTAGACCTAACTATTGAGTAATTGATTTGAAATTAATTTAGAATCTTAACAATTTAAAACTCAAACAAGTTAATTGACATTCTGGCATGATGCCGAAGATAATAGTGAATCAGTTTGCTATAATGCAAATGGAGGTAGTTGTAATTTTACTTTTTTGAACGCTTCGGTTTGGACGTTCGAGTACTATTCCAACCCACAAAGAAATATGTCGATGCCTAATCATGGGGAAACCGCTCCACTCGTTCCACTTTGCTACCTTGTTAAACAATACCTACATTGATTCTACTGCACAAGAATTTCATTTACTTTTTCAATTTTTTACTTCATTGTATCTATTCTTTGGGTGTACTATTATCTTCCAGATTGTTTAACACTTCGTCTGTGTTAAATGTCCCGTCATATCTAAACAACTTCGGGTTGATGAGTGCTCGTATTTCTCAATTGTAATATCAATCATATTTGAATCAGCGTCTGCGAGGCAAAGTGTACGACTTAATCTGGCATACCTCAATGTTCTCATACGGAAGCAGGTTTTATTTCGTTTCCAGGAAGTCTTAATTCTGATGCATAGTTTACTTCCAAGACTCTTCTAACCCTATGGGACTAATGTCTGATTTCGGTGTCGCAGCAGGCGGCAGGGTAAAGGTCATACTAGTCGAGCGGGTCCCCATTGTCAATCGTGTGTCCTGTTTGATTACAAAACACCACCAAAGTGGATAGAAATTGGCATGTGAGACGATGTCGTTTCGTGATCCTCGACTACGTCTCCACGGATTGCAGCCCAGATGCGATCGAGGATGAGTTCCATCATCAAATAAACGATGTCAGTGAAGCACGTTCGACAGAAATTGTAGTACTAACCGGGGATTCGCAGCACAGGTCGACCGTCTATACACAGAGTAGAGCCGCTTGGTAGCCAACAGGGACTCGTTGTTTCCATGTCAGACAGGGGTGACTGTCTCTTTGAGCTTTGCGTAGGTCACAACCTGTTTCTTCCCAGTACCAATTTTCAATGCAGTAGTCACCGATATTGTTGCACTGTTGCCCAATTTCACTCGTCCTCTTCGACTTTTTCATCGATATTTGGAAACAGCAACAAACGAGGCAGTTGAAAGGGTTGAGAATCTAGATATTTATGTGAGTGCTGATTGTGACGTAACTGATGAGGTCACTCTGCGTTTAGTAAAAGCCAGAGTGGTCTACGACAATCTGAAACACCTTTGGCTCCTTCATGATACTAGTCTGGCTTTAGAAGATCGGATCTATACCACGTCGAGTGGGAGTAGTTTGCTTTATACTTGCGAAACCTGGCATCTCCGAGCTGAGAATATTCGCAACTCTCTATGTCCGATCATTGCTCTCGCTTAAGGATTGCTGATTTCTAATGGCAACACCGTGTTAGTAATGCTGAGATATGAGAAGTGTGTTTGACCTCGGTGACAACAATTAGTGTCACCACTTTGAAACACTCGCTTCGGTGGCTTAGGAATGTGTACGAACGCCATTCTATACTGTGCATTATTTGCCGAACCTGGGACGGGGTGAAAAGAGAGAAGGTAGTCAGTGTGTGACATGAAGCTACGGGATGGAATTTGCCTAGTGCTGACATATGTTTGTTTCTCACAACTCCCTAGTTTGAGTCTTAAACACCATACAACTCAATGGTTTGAAACGTTATTTGAGAAGGCCGAAAGTAATAACCAGTGGGGATTTTGCTTTAGTATTATCATTCTTTAAAATAGTTTGAGGAGCATTCTTGACTGAGAGGTTTCTGGTTGCATTTTCAACTGGACTGCACATCATGCTATGTACTATTCTTGTTCTCTTACTAAAAACTGCCGCAATATCTTTGCACAAAAAATCTTTGGATATTAGCTATAACATTAGGAATAAATATGATATGAATTAGCGTGCAACTAAGCATTACTAACCTTGATACTGTCAACAATAAAGGAGGTGCTTTCAAATTTCGCTCATCAGTCCAATCAAAAGCAGTTTGGACAACAGCCTCAAGTTTACCTAAAGTATTATTTTCTCTGAATCTTAAGTGTTTTAACGGACTATCCGGATGACCATATAGTTTCCAAATACTGGTTAACTTGCTGTTCGAATGAAACAAATTGTCAGTTAATCTGGATAATTCCAATAACCGTTGATTACGTTTACCATTTTCCTTAGGCGATTGCAGTTTAGAAATTGCTGTACATGCAGCTTTAGCTAACATTGGTGGTAGAGAAGCTGAAAAACAATATGCTTGTCCAGAGAGTTCTTGATGACCAACAACATACTGCGATCCAGCACAAAATCCTCCACATACCCCTAAAGCAGTTTCCAACGAACCTATTAGGTAAACAAAACAACTCCTTAGGTGTAGTGTGGAAACTATGGAGTGAGAAGTCGCATAATTGTAGCAAGATAACTTACATACATCCTCAACTCTAAGCTGACGGTCATAATATTAACGGTTAACAATAATAACACAGAAGTCTCGTTGATTATTACTAATATAATCCAAGTCCTTGAAAAATTCAACCTTCGTAAATTCTGTACTAGTCACCAAATATTTGTAATAATACACTTGATGAATCGTTATAAATTGGTTCGCCTGCTTCATAGTATCAGTTTCAAGTTCACTTATCCAGTTGACTAATACAACCTGATTAATTAGTTCTAACGACTTTTAATCTTGTAAGCTGATACTTCTATTTACTAATCCCCATTATACACACGGATAAGTTGGTTAATCTTTAAGTAGTTTATTTATTTAGTTTAAAATGTTAAATTTCGAACGGTTTCGAGAAACGAACAGAAGCGCGTTAGAACATGCAAATAACTGGTTGAAAACCAAGTCACCACTTCAGTGATGATAATAATAAAATATCGAAACAATATGTTTAGATTAATCCAAATATGACAAATTTGCATGAATGAAAATCAAATTTTTAAGAAAACCTAATACATAAAGACTATCTGAAATAAATTTGGCACAGCATTTAGTAGAGTTACGAGAATGAATTTTGTTGAAGTGGTAGAGTTCTAACTCAATTATTCATAACACATATCAAACTGAATCATGATTAGACTTTCCATCCACCTGTAATCACTATTCTCATACACTTCAAAAATCTAGTAGTAAAAATTATCTGGATCAAACTATTTTACGGTTGCTAAATCACCATGATAAACTGTCAGGTAATCACGCCACAACAGTCGTGGTTCACGGCTGATATTTATCAATCAATGCATGCAATATAATCGAGTAGTTAAGTAATTTAGTGTAGGAGGTAAAAACCTTGACCTTTGCTTTACTAAATCAACAATCTCCAGCCAATCAGAACATTATTATTGTGCACTAACTAAATAAGTATGTAATCGCAGATAAAACAATCAATGAAAAAAGCGGTACAACGGAAGAAATGAGAATTAAAAACACAAGCTTACCTGAGATTAAGTCAATGTCTTCTATATTAACACCAAAATATTCCGTTACACCCCTACCAGTCTTACCTAATACTCCAAAAGAAATGGTCTCATCTAACAAAATGCGAACTTTGTATTTATATTTTAGAGCAATAAGCTCAGATAAGGGACAAATTTCTCCAGAATTGAAATAAATACCTTCAACAACAAAAAATCGGCGAGTTAGTAATGCACGCTTAGGATCTTCTTTATCTCTTTTTGCCTGTGCTATCAGTAATTGTTCCAAATGTTCCATATCATTATGACGGAAAAATCGAACATGACTTCTAGATGCCACTAAGCCTAGATACGTAGCATGGTTGATACCTTCATCCGCAAATATTACATCAGTTCGTTTGGAATAGGATGGGATAGCACTAGAAAATGTAGCTGCTCCATAAGAATAAATTACTGCTTTTTCAACACCGAGGAATTCAGCCAACTTATTTTCCAATTCAAGATGAACATCAAAAGTACCATAGAATCCTCTTGGTCCACATGATCCAACACCATATTTTTTCAGCTGCTCAGTAGCGACATTAGACAAATCCGAATCCCCAACAAAGTTTAAGAAATTTAATGTTGCGAAATTAAGATGATTCTTACTAACATTGTTTTCAGTAGCTCCAAACTCTTCCACTTCTAAATTGAAATTGACATATCTGGAAAAAACAACAGAGGAAAATGAATTTGTAGAATCATTGATATTGATGACATGTTACAAAATGCTAAATCGGACACAGAGAAATCAATAAATCTCTTTATCGCATGAAATAAAATTCAAGATTAGTAAGAGGAAAGTATTCAGAAAGTTTGTCTTCGAAAATACAAATATTTCCTGACGATTATTTAAGCGGTAGTAAGACAAACAATAGCAGTCAAAGCTAAATGTTAATCTACTCAATCATATACAAAAACCCACAATAAAGATTGGGTACACTCACATGGTTCTAACAATTACGTAGAATTAATTTGAATTTCGACGGAGGATATTACATTTCATAACTGTAAATGCTCATCACTAACTGGTTTTTGAGTAGCATCGAAGTTAAACACAACACCTTTTGAGTGGAACATAGTGGCACTAGATAACCAACCTGTAGATGATGCAAAAAGCTAACAGGAAAACGTGGCTTCATTTACCCTTTCAGGTATTATTCCCGCTTACTAGGAACTTCAGACAAGTAGATAGGAAGTTTAAAACGAAATTAAGGGCAATATTTGTGTATTTTATAATTTAGACATCATTGACATCTGCAAGAATGCGAAAATATATAAAAAGCAAAACAACATACTGAATTTATTTTCTTGTAGTCGATTAGGTATTGATCAGAACGATACCCGAATGTAGATGTATTTTGAATGAATGACGTCTTTAGCCCCCAAATGCCCTGGTATGGCCAAGAGCGGGGTTGGTTCGCCCTCCTCGAAATACTCTCACACAGCCACGCGTATACAGCCTCTGCCAGGGAAGTCCTACTCATTGCCTTCGCGTGGCGGGGGTGTTGTTTACGAAAATGAGAGCACGAAAAGAGAATGTCCGGCGCTTTAACCGGACCCCAAACCAATGGTGCACATGGGCTCCAGTATCCTGCGGGAACAAATGGCGTATGAACCAATCGTTGGTCACCGGCTACCATGGGACTGCATCTCCTTACGATGCTCCACTGCCTTGTGGGTTAGACCTTTAGGTCAAAGGCTCGGGGTGTGGCCCCCTAATATAACCACCTGCTTCGGTCTGAGCACCCGGGCAGTATCACAGCCCACACACAAATATGATGAACTGCCTATAATTATGGAAACTACTTTACTCGCTTCAACCAACAATCAAATTATTATTATTATTATTATTTACCATATTATTCACCCTCTTTTATACTTATACAGCGGCACGTCTTTGGTGGAAATTCGACTCTATCTAAACGTTCTCGAGTCACTGTCCGGTTGAAAATTGTATGTTCCCACCGAATGAGTACTGAAGCAGTTTTTCTGAAACCACGTGCACCATTCAAACTGGCTGCCTTCAACGTTCGCACACTTATGCAGGTTGGACAACAGATAGGGCTGACTATGTCTTTGGAAAGCCTTAATATCGATGTTTGTTGTCTATCCGAGACCCGTATTCAAGACTCTGGTGAAGTACTACAAATTCGCTCTCTATCTGTCGCTTCAAAAAGCTTGTTTTACGTGCGCTTATCCGGGGACTCTGTGGCATCTTTGTCTGGTCTTGCTCGCCTTGGTGTCGCACTAAGCGCTAGAGCTGAGGCAGCACTAATCGATTGGATCCCAATTAACAGTCAGTTATGTGCTGTTAGATTAGAAAGTTCCATCAAAGCGAGAGGAAATCGACGTGAGAAACGATGTCTTTTCGTCATCTCCGCCTATGCCCCGACAGATTGCAGCCTGGATGCAATCAAGGATGAATTCTATCACCAGTTAACTGTTCTTCTCCAGAAAGTGCGTTCGACAGATATTGTAGTACTAGCCGGAATCTTGAATGCTCAGGTCAGGCATCTAGACACAGAAGAGTCGTTTAGGTGGCCGATGCGAACTTCTTGGTCGCAGGACAGATAACGGGGACCGTCTACTGCAACTGTGCACAGACCACAACCTGTTTCTGGCTAGCACTAACTTTCGGCACAGTCATCGCCGATGTGCCACCTGGCGCCCTCCCTCTACATCTCAAGCCTGGACTCAGATTGATCACATCGCGATTAGCTACCGCTGGCGTGGTTGTGTACAAGATTACCGCTCCTTTTGGAGTACCTATCTGGACTCTGACCATGCCTTGGTCTGCGCCAATCTTATCTTACTTTTCAGTGGACAACGAAGTGACCGCCAACAACGGATTGATGTTAGCAAGCTGGTTGCAACTTCTGTTGCAAGTAAGTATCGAACCGGGCTAGTTTCTAGGCTAGCTACCATTCCACCGAAAAGTATAGATGAGCATTGGTCACAATTGCATGACGCCATGAAAATGGCGTGCTAATGAGCTGGAAGCAGGAGCTGCATCTGGTAATTACCGGAAGCTCTTCCAATTCATCCGAGCCACTGGCAGCAGGAAGCCTGGTGTGAGCGAAACAATCTGCGAGGATGATGGGATGCCAATCACTAACATCCATCGACGTCTTGGACGATGGGTAGAATTTTTCGAAGGGCAGTTCAACTGACCTGCTGCTTCGGCAACATCGGTCAGACTGTCCTGCCCTCCATGGCCGGTGACGACTGATCCAACAAATGAGGCGGAAGTCCGCAAGGAACTCCAATTCTTGAAGCGTTACAAATCACCTGGCCTAGATGACTTACCTTCGGCTCTTTTTAAAGATGGTGGTGACTTTCTGACTAAGGAATTGACGACGTTGTTTACAAAGGTTTGGAAACTAGAGAGTGTACCAACGTCATGGAATGAGTCGATAGTTGTCCCTATCTCTAAAAACGGTTCACGTCGTTCCTGTTACAACTATCGGGGGATAAGTCTACTTCCGATTGCGTCGAAGCTATTGGCTTCCGTCATACTTCGTAGGTTGTTCAAAACCCGAGAAAGATTGACTCAAGAGGAGCAGGCTGGGTTTCGTTCTGGTCGAGGATGTATTGATCATATCTTCACCCTCCGCCAAATGTTAGAACACCGTCATACTTATCAAAGGCCAACAATCGTAGTGTTTCTTGACATCAGGGCTGCCTGCGATTCGTTGGATAGGACTGTTCTCTGGGATAATCTATCGAAGAAGGGTGTGTCTGAGAAGTTTATTAACATCTTAAAAGCCCTATATACAAACACCTCAGGCAGAGTGAGGGCATACAACCACCTCTCTCCATTGTTCTATTCGAGCAGTGGGGTTAGACAGGGTTGCCCAATCTCACCATTCCTCTTCAACTTTGCCATCGACGACATTCTGGGAACAGCTCTGATGGATGTAAGTAATGGCGGCGTAGATCTGTTGCCCGGAGAAAGACTTCTCGACCTTGAGTATGCGGATGATATTGTCTTACTGTGCGATAATGCCCAAGCCATGCAATCCGCACTTAATCAGTTGGCAATCAGTGTCCGTAGGTATGGTATGTGCTTTGCACCTTCGAAGTGCAAAGTACTTCTACAAGACTGGCAGGATTCCAATCCTGTACTCACCCTGGATGGTGAGCAGATAGAAGTAGTCGAGAAGTTCGTGTATCTAGGTAGCTGCATAAGTGCTGGTGGGGGTGTGAGTGATGAGATCAATGCATGTATAGTGAAAGCCAGAGCGGCGTATGCCAATCTGGGCCATCTTTGGCACCTTCGTGATGTCAGTCTGGCTGTAAAAGGTCGGATCTACAACGCGTCGGTGAGAGCAGTTTTGCTCTATGCTTGTGAAACCTGGCCTCTCCGAGTTGAGGATATTGGACGACTCTATGTGTTCGACCATCGTTGTCTCCGAAGGATTGCTGACATCCAGTGGCAACACTATGTTAGTAATGCAGAGGTCCGACATCGTGTGTTCGGGCACAGAGATGATAATGCAATTGGTGTCACCATCTTGAAACACCGACTTCGGTGACTTGGACATGTTCTACAAATGTCGCCCCAGAGAATTCCACGTCGTGCATTATTTGCCGACGCTGGGACTGGTTGGAAAAAACGGAGAGGTGTTCAGTGTATGACATAATATCGTGGCATGAAAGAAAGCTGCAAAGAACTGGCTTATGTTGGTCCTTCATGACTCCCTGGTTGGGGTCCGAGAGATGGTGCAACACAGTGGCTAGAGACGTTATCAGATATGGCTCAGAATAGAAGCCAGTGGCGATCCTGCTGTAACCTTCTTTTACTTTCTCCGTAAAAGGTGGTTGTGTCTCCCTAAACTGAAAGATTTCTTCTGATTGTACCTTTCCGTTCCCTCATTAGTACTACACTACCTTATACCAATCTCTTCGTTATTGTTCTCTTTTTTTACGCTCCTTACCTTTTTTTCTCTTCGAATTCTCATTGTTTTGTGTGGCGCAAATTTATTTGGCGCACTCTTGTATCAACGTTTATGTATTCAAATATATATTAAATAAATAAATAATAAATTACCATTAAATTGTCTGGGAAAATCGAAATCGCTGTGATTAAAATCTATTTCGAATAAATAAGAACTTTTCACAGAACCAAATGTTTTATTATTAACTGAAGCCTTAGGAACGACTGTGAAAAAAGGCTGCAAAAATGAGAATATTACGTCACACTATTTTACTCTATCTCAAAACAGAAACGATACATGGGATGAGAAGGTCTAAGGTATTCGTATACATATTAAAGATATGAAAATAAAGTTTTAAGTGAAGAGCATGAATAGGGATAGATTTCTACGCCTTTCAAAATATGGCACCTAGAGACATTATTAATCTACCATGTTAATCCTGACGTCTGTGCATATAAAGGATACGTCATATTTTGGTTGTTTTATACTAATACGACTCCAAACATAATTCTTTGTATTCATGGATGGTTTTAAGTGGAATTTCTCATATGTAGTAACGATTAGTAGTTTGTTCCACAGATTAGTGGAACAGCTGTACCCAAGAAAAGTTTAGGTATTTTATTTTAACCTCGAAACAACTTTGGAACACATAGATGTCTTCTGTTCGTAAATACTAATCATTAAGACTATTTTATTTGGATGTGCATAGGTCCTTATTCTTTGTCTGACAATCAAATAACAATGTTACAGAAGTAGGTGATAAGCTAAAAAATATTACTTACTTGCCAAGAGGACCATTCGCACATCTGTGGAATTGTTTTAATAGATATTTTGATGGTTCCCAATCTTTCGGAACCAAACTATCGGGTTTCCATTCATTGATCAGTTGATTTTTCTCCTCCACACTTAGATTGATTACATCATTAATACGATAACTGCGTTTAAACAACAACCATATGATACCAATAATTAGTAGCAATTCAAAATACAAATGATATGTAGGAGCCTTAAGTGCACTGTAAATTAGACGAGTCCAAGTATACTCAGACTGCGGTCCTAAACGTATAATTAGAGAAGATTATTTGTCTTACCGATTTGAGCAAGAAAGTGTGTGATAAATTTCATTACCATTATTTGTGTTTTTTATGGATCCATCTAGGTACCTTCCTGGAAAGTGCAAAGATAAGTTGTTAGTCCACAGCGTATAAGAAACGTGACGAACTAAAACTTAGACATAAAATGGAAGTAAGCATGATAAGAAATAAGTTAGTCTAAATGCTTTTGACGAGTACGACCAATAAAATTGTAAATGACACACGTCCATAATGTCCGTTTTACAGCGTAAGATGACCAGATAATAACATTGATAAACTTTTTTGACTTTCCACTAGTTTATTTAGCTTTTTCATGATAGACTATCACAGAAAAATCCAACTACCAATCCCATTTTGACTCCATATATTATAAGAGAAATCTATTAATATTCCTTAAAGTATTTAACTAATCCTGTTAGTTATCCATTAGCAACAGAGTAATTAATTTGCTGAGATCTTACAAATGAAGAAATACACCTTTTAACAGTTGAGATCATGAGTCAATTGAAGCTAGACCACCATAAAAAACCTGGAAGCACTGGATGCCGTTCCGTCATATTGCGGGACTCCTCAGCAGTGCGCAACCACGACCTCGCCTCGCGAGATTCGAACCCAGAACCTGTCGGTCTCGCGCGCGAACGCTTAGCCTCTAAACCACTGAGCCGGCATACAACGGTGTCAATGTCTAACCTTAACTAATCCACGAAATTTAGTGACACATCCACCATTGTCATCAGTGAATTACTATCTCACAACAGACCTGGTTGAACTCCACTGGTCACGGCTTCTCACTAGAACTCCAGGAAATACCTCTTGGAGTCAATCACTAGTGAGTATATGTTGATTATTATCAGAAGGGGTTTTGTGGATATTATGGTAATTTAAATAGCTGAGATCATGAGTCGATTGACATTAATATACTTTTTGTTGACTTATTTTCAGTACTAAGTTGAATATATGATAAGCTTCAACGTAGTGGATTTTAGTAGAGTTAAAAATTATGTAAAAATATGTATGGTTCTCCATGCAATTATTAAAACGGGAGATTTTCATACTGCAGATAGTTTGTATTTATAAAAGTGGAAGAGGAACGGAACCTCCCAAGCGTTGCTCGCGAATGTTGGGATAACCGAGAGAGAAATGATATGATTAAAAAAAGGCACTAAGCACATATGATAAACAGGTTGAGGAGATAATGAATCTTTATCCGCTTAAGTGGCTGGGACATGTTACGCATTTTTAAACACCATCTACGCCGACAAGTGATAACAGCTGGTATAAAAGCAAGTTAGAAGAAAGCTATGGGCAGTCATGGAACCATTTACAGTTAGACTAAACCGAATCAGAATATGCATACTATCTGATTGAGGTTTTTAAGCTTATCGTAACCAATTATTGGAGTTGGGTAACATAGCTCAGAACAGGTTCCAATGGCGTAGGTTAACTCACACTATCTTCCTTTAGATCCCGATTTCCGAAACCGTTTTATTTTTTACGGTAGCTATCCATACCTTCTCGAAGCATAGAACCCGTCTGATTTTTCATACTATCACTGATATTATTGCCACATATACTACTGTGGGATTTCACTCTGCTGAAGTAGCGTGGACGTAGTATTCTGTTGTTAGTTCAGAAAAGTCTTAGAGCTTTTGATTTCTCTTACACCTAAATGACCTTTCCAATCGGCTGTTTTTGGTCCTATGCATCCACGATACCAATATATAAAGGCTGCTACGAAAAGGTGACAGTAAAGTTCCTTGCTGATTCAAATACGTCCGAAAACCCATAATCAACTTTACGATAGAATCAACCAGTAAAGTCGTTTGTCTCAACACACCACAAATTTAACATACGTATTCAACAAAAGCTTCAACCAGCTGAGGTTCCGATACCCAGGATTGGCACATATGTTCCCGTTTCCTGTCGCTAACAGAACAAAGCTGAATGAAGGTAAAATTTGTTGATACATATATATCAATAGGCGCACGACATTACATACGACTTTTTACTGAATTTCAATGGACTAATAAAACTGATGCCTGCTTACTAAGTGCAGATATACCAATTACAGAAGTGCTTCAAGAGATCTCGAGTTTTATGATAAGACCATGTAGCTTTTAGTAGTTGCTGACGGAGTAGCAAAGGTCTTTGGTTATATTTGACGGGACTCAAAAGAAACTGACCGGACTATATCGGAGAACAGTAAGGTATAGGCGTAGTATTTACTATTCAACATACAAGAGAAATTCAAGAATAGAGGTTTATGTGATATCTACATAACCTTTTGCGTTCAAATTAAACATAAGGAAACTCGTCATAATCACCAACTGGTGCCTTTATGTGTTGATTAAAAACACTGTGACGATGACCATAAAACAAGTGATTCTGGGAAAGCATATGATCTATGAATATATTACCGAAGCTTTACATCATATCTTCGCTCTTCTTCATTATATATTACGATATAACATATTTCGAGTAAATTGTTACCATCAGGAGGCTCATGATCGACTTTAAATGCAGGAAATTAAGTACCTATTGGGAAATGTGAATTTTTGGGAAGAAATAGTCCATTCTCAGAGAAGACCTAATCTAAAGGACCTCTCTTTAAGATCACTTTTCCTGTTTTATGTGTGAAAAGGTGATTTCCGTCTGATTATTAAATCACCCTTGAGTCTCCTTTCTTTCATGATACAAACGCGGAATTTCGTTGTGTTACCGCTATGTTTATGAATACTTACCACTGATTTCTAAACTTAAAGTAGTTATAATTACGCGAAAACGTCCAACGATCAATCAAATTCTTCCGTTTACAGAGGTGCCAGGGTTATTTGCGCCACGCAGAATCTTTGAATTATCAACAAATACTCTTCAAATGGTTCAAATGGTTCAAATGGTTGTGGACGGAATAGAAGAAGCTTTCGCTTAACAGGCTTCCGTGTCTAGTAGCAGGGGATCACGAAATCCTCCAGGCAGGAACCTAGGTATGTTAACAATAAAAGAGGAAAAGAAATTGGTAAATCAGTGTGATGCTGTCCTTGGTCCTTAAGAATAGGTCAAGTTGCCTCTTGAAGGACTCCTGAGAAGTCGCTTGGACTAGCTCGGCCGGCAGAGAATTCCAGCTTTTGACAACTCTTAAGGAGTAGAAGTTGTGTCTACATTCCGTCTTGCTATGTTGTGTTTCCAGTTTCTGGGTGTTACCCCTTAGGTTATTATTCGAACTAAGCTTAAGTAGGTTTTTAAGAGGATGTCCAGAAGTGTTAAGAATACTATAAGCCATTAATAAATCAACTCTAAGACGCCTATATTCTAGTGGGTAAAGGTCTAGTGAACGGAGGCGTTCTTCGTAAGGCTTAGATTTGAGTCCTCGAACTGATTTCGTGGCTCGCCGTCGGATACGCTCCAAAGTGACCTTGTCCTTTTGGAGTGAGGGGGGGAGTACTATGTTTCCGTACTCTAAATGGGGACGGATGAAACTATTGAAGATTGTGTGGAAAGTTCTTCCGTCGAACTGGCCAAAAATGTGCCTCAACGTTACCAGTGCAAGGTTTGCTCGGAAGGCGTTTTTGCCACAGTTAGCGTAAGACTTTAAGTCATGGGGCACCAGGACTCCTAAATCTTTTTCGACTTGGGATACTACTAGAGAGGAGTTTCCTAAGTTGTAACTGTAGTCTGCGACATGTCGCAGATGGACTACTTTACACTTTGAAGTGTTAAAGGTAAGTCCGTTATCGTCTGCCCAACTTTGACGTCGAGTCAGATCCTCCTGAAGTGCCTGTATATCGTCTTCGTTGAGTATCTCTCTCCAAAGCTTCACGCCACCGGCAAAAAGTAGTAAGTCTGACGTTACCTGTTGAGGAAGATCATTTATGTAAATCAAGAAGAGAAGAGGTCCTAGTATTGAGCCTTGGGGGACTCTACTAGGACATTCCATAGCCTGAGATAAAGTGAAGTTAACACTGACCTTAAAATGTCGATTTTTCAGACATAAAGTGAGCCAGTCGATTAGAGGTGGTCTGATACCCAATCGTTTGAGCTTATTGATAAGACGTGTATGGTTAACCTTATCAAAAGCTTTTGAGAAATCAAGGTAAATGACATCAACCTTTCCCTTGCAATCGAGGATGCTTGTCCATCTGTCCACCGCAGTCAGCAGGTTGGTTATACAAGAGTAACCCTTCCTGAAACCATGCTGTTGGGGTGAGAAGAAATTTAAGGACAGTAGATAGTCATTTAAACCGTCGCATATCAGGGACTCCATGAGTTTTGAAGGTAATGACAGAAGAGCCACCGGCCGATAACTTGAACGTTCATTGCGTCGATCACCTTTGAAATTTGGTGTGATGTGAGCCAACTTCCAATTTTCCGGTAATTTGCCTCGGCTAAGCGAGTGTGAAAACATCACGCTAAGCGGCGTTGTCAGGATTGAGGCTGCCTCCCTCAGTATGGCAGGATGAACCATATCCGGGCCAGGAGAACTGTCGATTCTTAAGTGCTGCAGTTTCCGGAATACCAAGTCAGCGCTCAGGTTCACTTCGGAAAGTCCTGTGGAATTGCAGATGAAACTGTCGTCAGTAAAGTTGATGTCAGCCGGTTGAAATGTTTGAGAGTAATGTGCCGCCAGAAGGTTAGCGGCGTCGCCATCGTTGTTGGTCGGGCCGTTAAGACCTAGCAGTTGAGAAACTCCTGTTTTGGCTTGACGAAGAGAGGCTGCATAACGGAATAGGCTTCTAGGGTTAGAGGCGAATTTGTCCATAAGCTTTGTTTGGTACTGAAGCCTGTCTTCTCTTATAGCCTTCGTGCATATGTTCCTGATATGTTTGTATTGCCTATACGCTCCATCGTTATTAGTTCGTTTGTATTCCGCCAAACAGTGCCGTTTGCGGCTTAGCAGGCGGAGGGTACGGTTCTTGATTACTGTAGGTGGCTTGCAGCTTTTGGGAACCGTTTGAGGAACTGAATGGTCTGTAGCACATAAGAGCGTGTGCAGTAAGAAGTCTCAATGACCATCCACATGAAGTTGAGGGTGAACATCCC